GACTCAAAAAAAAAAAAAAAAAAAAAAAAACCAAAAAGAAAAAGAAAAGAAAAAAAATCCAAAGTTTGATAGGATTATAAACAGGACACATGTATAGAGTTTACAACAAGTGTGATGGTAGAGACAGCTCAATGGTTAGGAACACTAGCTGTTCTTATAGGGGACCAAAGTTCAATTCCCAGCACCCACATGGCAGCTCACAATTATCTTTAACTGCAGTTCCAGAAGATTCAACACCCTCTTCTGGCCTTCATGGGCATCAGGTAAAAAAGGGGTACATAGATATATACAGGTAAAATCCTCATATACATTATATTAAATAAAACCAAACAGTAAACTCTAGAGAGAAAAGTGGCTTCACATTCAGAAGTAACCTGTAGAAATTCTGCAGCCACTGCCCTTTGAAATAAGTAGACAGAGAACACATGTTAAAGTGACTCCTTCGGACTTGTTATCCCAACACTCAAGAGGCTTAAGCAAAAATGCGAGTGCAAGACCAGCCTGGGCTACAAACACACATGGATGCACAAATATGTTAGAGGATTTATTTCTACTAACAATAGAAGCATTACTTTGTAGATAGAAGTTTCTGTTCTGCTTGGTCCGCTTCAGCCATTCAGTTCCAAAGAAACACACAGAGGTTTATATTAATTATAAACTGATTGGCCTATTAGCTCAGACTTATTATTAACTCTTACAAGCTCTTACAATTTAACCCATCATTCTTGTCTGTATTAGCCATATGGCTTGGTACCTTTTAGCAGTGCAGCATTCTTATCTTGCTTCCTCTGCATCTGGTGGCCTCGCCTATATTTCCTGCCTGGTTAAGGGCCAATCAGCGTTTTATTAAACCAGTATGAGTTGATGTGGGAGTGATTTCTTATTAATAAAGAAACTGCCTAGGCCCCTTGATAGGCCAACCCTCAGGTGGGTGGAGTAAACAGAACAGAATGCTGGGAGAAAGAAGCTGAGTAAGGAGTCGCCATCATTCTCCCACTCCAGACAGACACAGGTTAAGATCTTTCCTGGTAAGCCAGCTCGTGGAGCTACACAGATTATTAGAAATGGGTTAGATGGATATGTAAGGGCTAGCCAATAAGAAACTGGAACTAATGGGCCAGGCAGTGTTTAAAAGAATAGTTTCCGTGTAATTATTTCGGGGCATAAGCTAGCCATGCGGGCGGCCAGGTGCTGGGGAAGCAGCCCCGCTGCTCCTATTTCTACAATGAGTGACAAATCTTTACAGTGTACAAAAGCATTATCCTACAGCATTACTTCACTAATATCAGTGATCCAAATCACTGTAATAGCGGTAGTAACAGAAAGGCTGGGGTGTGGGGCTCAGTTGATAGAACTGCTTAGGATGTATGAGGAACTGGCTTTAATCCCCAGCACCACATAAACTGGGTACATTGTGGTCCATGTCTGTAATCCCAATACTAGTGATGTGGAGACAAGACCATCAGAAATTCAAGCTTATGCTTAAGTACATGTTGAGTTCGAGACCACTCTGTGGTCTCAGTCTCAAAAAGAAAAACTAAAGGTATCTCTTCAAATACTCAGATTTGGTCAGGAGACAATTCATCTGACAATAAAACAATGTATGCTTCTAAACAGAATCACTACAGGTAGAATACACTCTTCCATAATGTATCATTACATACAGGCTCAACACCAGTTTGCCTGGTCTGTCAGTGGATACTACCTTGGGACACCTGTATCAACAGCAGCAACAAAAAGAAAAAAAAAATGAACAAAAAAAAAAACCAGAGTGATGGTTTTAGTGCTTAAGAGCACTTTGGGAAGGCCGGGCAGTGGTGGTACTTGGGAGGCAGAGGCAGGCAGATCTCTATGAGTTCAAGGCCAGTCTGAGCTACAAGAGCTAGTTCCAGGACAGGCTCCAAGGCTACAGAGAAACCCTGTCTTGAAAAACCAAAAGAGCACTTTGGCAGTGTGTTTCCCAGAAACCATTTTGGACAGATGGACAGATAGCCACCTACAACATCTTCTGGCTCCCAAAGGCACATACACACACATTAAAAATAAGCAAATCCACAAAGATCACAAAACAAACACTGCTAAAGTTTTGGAAGCTCCTTAATTTTTCTGTGGAATTTTTAAGATCATTTTTTATTATTTTCACTTATTTTTTCGAGACAGGGTTTCTCTGTAGCTTTTGGAGCCTATCCTGGAACTAGCTCTTGTAGAACAGGTTGGCCTTGAACTCACAGAGATCCACCTGCCTCTGCCTCCAAAGTGCTGGGATTAAAGGTGTACGCCACCACCACCCAGCTTTTATTATTTTTATTTATGTGTATGTGTCTATATGGGTTTGTGCATGGGCATTCATGTTCCCAAGCCCCAGGAGACCAGATTGCTCAGATTTCTTGGGAACTGTAGTTACAGGTCAAGAGCTGCCTGACATAGACACCTGGTACTCAGGTCCTTCGCAAGAGAGTATGAGCGCTTAACTGATGGCTTAAGCATCAGCACCTAACCTAATTATAACACACAACCCCTACCCTTCATTTTTTTTTTTTTTTTTTTTTTTTGGAGACAGGGTTTTTCCGTGTAGCCCTGGCTGTCCTGGAACTTACTTGCTCTGTACACTAGGCTAGCCTCAAAGTCAGAGTAACTCAAAGATGGCTTGCGGGTGTGTGTAAAATGCTTACTGTGTAAGCAGAAGGTCCTGGGTTTGGGTTCCCAGAGCACACATAACATCTGGGCATGCTCTTCTGTTGTTATAGGAGTGCTAGCGAGGGGTGAGGCATGAGCATATATGCAGATTCCGGGTCAAGCAGTCTAGTTAAAAACAGCAAGCTCCAGGTTTAGTGACATATTTTCAAGAAAATAAGGTGGAGGGCAAACAAGATGACTCTTTAGTAAAGGCACGTACCACAAAGACTAATGACTTGAGTTCAATCTTTGGGACCCACATGCTGAGAGGAAGAGAACCCATTCCTACAAGCTGTCCTCAGATCTCCACATGTATGCCCTGGCATGTTTGTGCTCACATACATACAGATACATGCAAACACACACACATGCAAACACGCACAAATTTAAAAAGTGTAGGTAAAAAACAAAAAGTAAAGTAGAGAACAATAAAGGAAGGCACCAGATAAGGTTAGCGCCTGGCTTCCACACTTGCACAAATACCTAAGGGCATGTGCATAGACAACACCTACAAAAATAATTTCCTCACCCTTTACAACAACATGTTAAATATACTATCTGATATAGATTGAAATGATGTCAAAGTCAACTCTAAAGCTTTGCTTTTAACAAGATTGAACATCTTTTATTTATATATTTCTGATATACATTAATGATCTTATACATTTAACTAAATCTAACAACAATGGTGAAAACAGAAATAAACGACAATTTCAAATTTTAATTGCATTGAAATACTTTTTCAGTAACTGATGTAAATGACCAGTGAATAGCCTATATGAAGTTGTAGGCTGTATACAGATTCACTTTTAAGACTGATATAGCTATTAAAACAACAACAAATTTGCAAATGCACACATTACATATGCAAGAAAATGCATGCAGGGCTAAACATTTACTCCTTAACCTTAAAGCCATTTTTTTTTTAAGTAAACTGGATTAAGCATCTTAATATTATATATGTACATCAAGGCACATTCATTTCTTGTGCTTTAGGAATGATTTACATATGATCTGTTTATATCTTAATTTTATATTTTAAGAAAGCTTCTAATATCTAAAAGCTTAATTTTAACAATTATAGCTTGAACAATAGTTTTCTAGAGAGAAATGTGGCCGTCTCCCCATAGTTATTTTCAAAATCTGAATCTGACAACTCAGAAAAGTGAGAAATTAAAAAAAAAAATCAAACACATGAATGAATATAATTTAGTTTTAAGATAACTTTTCAAAATATGTCCAGCAATTTGATAGTACCATAATCAACTTTTTTTTGTGTAACACAGTATATTGAGGGGTGAATTGAGAATTTTAAACATTTTGAAATTATCTAACAATTATATAGCATCCATAGTCACTATAGATGAAATTATTCAACGAATTTAAACAAACATGATACAAAAGCTAAAACATACCAAACATAACTTCTTCGATAACTTGTTCGTTCTTCAGCAAAATAATCAGTTTTGATTTTTTTTCCATTTATAGTCCAATGTTATCAAGCAGAAACTTCCCATCAACAGTGTTTAATAACAGTACTCTTTTCTCATGGCCAATTACTTGCCTTGAAGAGATAGTATAGTAAGTAAGGCTTTAATAGACATCTCATGCATTTAAATGGTATTGTAAAATTAGCTTTGCATCTGTGAGTCCCCATACAGATAAATAAATTATGCAAACTTGATTACAACACAGAACTCAAGTGCTTCAAGACAGACTAGATTCTCTGACTTAGAAGCAGTTAAAATAAATAGTAAGTCAAGAATCATAGATCTAAAGCATTTTAAAATATAATATACTTATGCATCTTATGGATATGCTTTATATTAGAATTTTTTAAATCCACAAACAACTAGTTACAGAACCTCTGTATTTTGAGAATAGAACAGAAGAAAAGCTAACCGTGCAGCCTCTTACATTCAAAATATGTAATAAAATAATGTCAAAATATGAAACTGCACATCTTTAAATTTTGTATATTTATAAACATTCATTCATAGAAGGCATACCATGATCAACTACATCCCATCCAACAGATTTCTGTTTTCAGTTTCTTTACAGAAAGTGGACTTTCCTACAGAACTCACTGGCCAGACAAGAAGTTTAGTAATGTCACCAACAGCCCAGTTTCACATATGAAGTCTACATGGGTAGTGACATAACTGTAAACACATGCTCTGTGAGCTCAAGGGGAGTCGTCTCCTGTGGCTGCAGTACTCACTCTGCTTCCGGCATATGTGCCACTTCTACTTCAACAGTCTGAATGGCTTCTGCAACTTCAGACAGCTTCTGTCCTTGCTGTTGTGCCAACACATAGTTAACCACTTGCATAATACTTTGGTCAGAAAGGGTAGATACTGATGGACACTCTTCAGTAGCTGCAACTGCTTCAAGAACTTCCATAGTTTCTCCTGTCACCACCACAGTCTCAAGTTCTTGAGGCCCAGTGCTTTCTTGCTCTTGCATGTCTGCAGTTAAGATGCTGACAGCATGTTCCACTTGAGTTCCTTGGTTATGAAACTGCAGAGTGTCTTTTTCTAGCATAATTTTGCAAGGCACATAGTCTCTGTGGAATTTAGTCATATGTTTACGAAGTGTTCGAGCATCTATGTAGGCTTCGCTACACACAGGACACACATAGGGCCGTTCACCAGTATGTGTTCGGACATGACGTTTCAGTGATCTGGCATCAGCCCAAGCTACTCCACATGTTAAGCACTCAAAGGGCTTAACTCCTATCAAAAAAGAAAGAGAAAAGAGGGTATATGGGATAAGGTTCTAAATTCTAATATATATGAAAATAAATTTGCAAATGTTTTTCAAGTATGTCCACAACCATTTCACTTTTATTACTATAATCTTTTAGTTAGCATCAAATAATTCTCAATGGACTAACCAAGATTTTGCACTATAATTTCTCTAAAAGCATCCTCACATAATAGAAGTTACTTATGAACAACTAAGTTTGCCATGATTTATTTATCCTTTAACTGCAATCTTACAATCCTAGGATAAGAGTCTCCAAATAAGTTTCAAACTCAGCATCACTTCAATCTTTCAAGATACGGGCTTAATCTACAAAGAGAGAAGGTGGCTGGTAAAACACTGACAAATGATGATGCTCCATGTGCTCGCTTTGGCAGCACATGTATTAAAATTGGAAAGATACAGAGAAGATCAGCATGGCCCCTAAAAAAAGAGTGCTCATTGGCCCTCTTCTAGCAGGATAAATATGCATTACCTTCATGGTTGTTCATGTGTCTCCTGTACTCTCTCAGCTGAGTGAATTTTCTCCCACACTGATCACACACCCGTTCCAGGTTTTGCTTTGCTCGTCCTTTCTTCCCATGGGTGGCTTTCTTTACGTGTCTTCTGAATAAAGCTTTCTCATAAAATTCTTTGCCACATATATTACACCTAAAATAGAAACGGCCCAAATTAGTTTTCTCTAAAGTAATAAGGCCATAAGAATCAACTGAAGTGTGTATATTTCTCAATGAGTTTAGATACTTCTCAGACTGACTCACCTGTAAGGTTCAGTGACAGAATGGGACTTGACGTGGGAATACCAATCTTTCTTCCAGCTGTAGCACTTGTCACAATATTGGCACCGAAATGGCTTCACACCAAGATGTTTGTTCATATGTTGGCGCAGATCTCTAGCTTCAAAGAAACTTTTTTCACATCTGTAATAAAGTTTAGTTAACCAATTGGATCATCTTTAAAACAAGTCTCTAAGAGTTCACTATATTAAGTGTTTGAAGCTTCACAAAATTATTCCAAATTTAAAATATCAGAGAGAGAGAGAGAGAGAGAGAGAGATCTATTTTTTCAATCTTGCATCAAGGATGCAAGATTTAAATTCTTTTTAGAATACTCAAAATGCTGGAGAAGGAATCATGCAAGGCTCCCAAGTTACCAAAGTGAGTTTATTGTCCACCTCTCCTTATCCCTCTCTTTGAAACCCCTTCATCCCCTTCCTCTTTTGTCCATGTTAGGAAGGTAGGCTTTATCATTGACACTAGGAACGAAGCAATGATTCAGGCCTAATCAGTAACAGTAACAGCATTCCCTTGGTAGCAGCAATCAGCTTAGGGATGCTAAATGACTTAACTTGATCCAATCAGAGTGAAACTCGGGACTTTTACAGGAACTACCAGAAAAGAATCTTGACAATTTGGAAGTTGAGAGGATGAGAAGCTGAAACCACTGCCAGACTTTGTCCATATGGAGCCTGAGAGAAACCAGATACTAATCAATCTGAATCCAACTTAACCAACCACTCAGACCTCCAGACTTGACTTTTCATTCAAACCAGTTCGGTTGGGTTTTCATTCACAGATAACAACAAAAAAGTATTGATAAAAACACTGTACCTAAGGCCAGGTGCTAGTGGCACATGCCTTTAGTCCCATTATTTCAGGGACAAAGGCAGGCAGACCTCTGTGAGTTCAAGGCCAGCCTGGTCTATATAGCAAGTTTCAGGACAGCCAAGGCAAGACTGTGTCTCAGGCTGGAGAGATGGCTCAAAGGTTAAGTTCACTGACTGTTCTTCCTGAGTTCAATTCCCAGCAACCACATGGTGGAGATCTGATGCCCTCTTCTGGCCTGCAGGTGTACATGCAGGCAAAACACTGTACACATAATAAATAATAAAATATTAAAAAAAGAAAGACTGTGTCTCATAAAACACAAAACAAAACAGAAAGTCCATCGTATATTTTCTGGTATTATTATTATTACTATTATTTTGGTCATTTGTTTTGAAACAGAGTTTCACTCTGTAAACCAAGTATGTTTGAAACATGCAATTTTCCTGCCTCAGTTCAAGTACCAGGATACAGACATGTGCCACCGTGGCCAACTCTATTTCTACTCTAAAATAAGACTAACTGTAGTAAAACTGACAAATTCAGCAGGGTAGGAAACGGCGAACATTAATGTCTTAAATCAATTGGCTAACTTTATTGGGGAGTTTAGGAACTTATCAAAAGTATACATTGCATCCATGTGTGGTAACATATGCCTTTAATTTCAGCATCCCGGAGGCAAGCAGATCTCTTTTGAGTTCCAGGCAAGTCAAGAAGTTACCAAAGGAGTTCCAAGTAAGCCAGAGCTTCACCCAGTAAACCCTGTCCCCAAAAAAGAGTGACTCAGGAAAGCCAGGACTAAATTAGAAAGACCCTATCTCAAAAAACAAACAAAAAACAAAAAACAAAACCTATAATGGCCAGCACATGGTTAATCAAGAACAACAATTACTCTGGCTGGAGAGATGGCTCAGCAGTTAAAACCAATTGCTCTTCAGAGGACTCAGAGATTTGACCCTCAAAACCCACACAGTGGCTCACAATCATCTGTTAACTCCAGTTCCATGAGATTCAACATCTTCTGGCCTCTTCACAAACCGAGCAGTCATGGTGCATATACAAACACAAAGGTAAAAACACTCATACACATACAATAAAAATAAATCTTTACAAAAAGCAATTGCTGCATAACTAAAGTTTTATGGGATTTTAAATTTACCCTAGCTCCGTAGAGCTTAGCAGCAGCCTTGAACACAATAGCCTGCATTCCTAGTACTACAAGGATCTGAAGAACTATGTTTTGTTTTGTTCATGTTTTTAGAGACAGGGTCTTGCTATGTAGTTCGGTTGTCCTAAAACTCACTATGTAGACTAAAGGCTAACCTTGAACTCACAGAGTTTTATCTAAGTCTGCCTCCTGAGTGTTGAGACCAAGGGCATGCATCACTAGGCCTAGTCTAGAACTATGATTACTGGCTAACTCCATGCCTTTTATTTATACTCCAACCCTCCCAAAACTGTATAGTTGGAGTAGAGTTGTTTGTTGAGAGTATTTAAAACCAAATACATTAGCCTGTGTTTCTTAGAGGCAGGAATACATTTTGTAGAAACAAAAATACCAAAAGCATGAGAATGAGATGCTTTGGGGAATAACAACTTTGAGAATTTTCTCTTTTTGGGAAACACAATGCACACACGTTTAAGACTGAAAACATGTGCAAAGGCCCTGTGCTATCACTGGCTGACTTGAATCTGCACAACCTGTGAGGGAGCACTAGGATGGCTGGCAACTGTCAGTCTCAATGCTGAATTCTAGAATTAGTAATCCTATTTGTACAAAACTATGAACGTATTACAAACTCCCTTTAAGGTGAATTTAATTTTTTTTTTTTTTTAGGTGAGTCAAACGTTGTAGATTTAATCTCACTGTGAACTGAAAACATAGTAGCGTTCCTTGCCAGTCATCTGAGAATATGCGAGCTTTTGGTGACCCCAGATGAACCGGAGAGGCCAGGGCACCCGACAGGTGCAGCTGGAGCCTACTCAATGTGACATAAGGTGACTGACTACTTTCCATTTTATGAATTTGACTTCAATTTTGAAGAAGATCATTTTGGAAAGTGAACAGAGAAGAAGAATTGTAAGGAAAGAGAAACAGTTAGTGTTTCAAGGAACCCTACAAAGGAGCATGGATGGTGGTACTGTCTCCACCCCTAGGTAGGACACCTTGGAAAGTCTCTTTCAATCACTTTAAAAAAAAAAAAAAAACTCTTAAAACAAACCAACAGTAAGAGCTAGGTAGACTGATCACTCAGTAAACTGACATTACAGTTAATGTTATCTTTGAATATTTTCTTATAAAAAAAACAATATTCAAAAAAACCCAGGTGAGATAAGTGAAATTAACTTCACATATTAACTACTTACTGAGTACAATGATAGCCTCGAACTTCAGGCTTTGGTTGGTGTTTTTTAAGGTGCTTGCTAAGTCCGGAGCCCCTGTGAAAAGACTTTCCACAAACTGAGCAAAAGTATTTGGATTCTCCTGTGAAAAAATGAAAAGCCATGTTATAAATCTAGTAAGAAGCCCTTTTTTCAACATAATTTGTTACATTTCAGAAGTTAAAATTTTACCAAGAAACTGTCATTTTACAAAAACCTGGGAAAAATTGAATTTTCTATTTCCTTTCAAAACTACAGCACTATCAAGATACTCAACATACTGTGATAGTATTCTGTCACTGATACAAATACTTTGCAGGGAAGAGCTGAGTCACAGCATTTAAAACATTCACAGGAAAGAAAGGAGGAAAGAGGACAGGAGCTCTCAATGCAGAAGCGGTGGGCAGAGTGGTAACAGGAAGTCATTCAAAGGAGGTGTTAGTCTACCTACCAAGCTATTACTGCTCCCTTCATCACTGCCCAGCCTCCTGTGCTTCCCATCCCATGCAGAATGGAATCCTATAGTTAGTTGTGGCAGCTCGGCTCTCCCTGACACAGACTGTTACTGTTATGAACAGGTTGACAGAAACAAAATTGAGACCAGGAATAGAGTCACTGTCATGACTCTAGAAGTTATGGGAGGCATAGTGGTGCACACCTTTAATTCAAGGACTTGAGAGGCTGAGGCAGGAGGATCTCTGAGTTTTAGGCCTGCCTGATCTACAGTTCCAACTCAGGTTCCAGGACAGTAGGATACTAGTACAGGCCACAGTGTAAGAGTGTGCAATGTCTGAATAATTTATGAACTGTAATAGTTATCTAAGTTATCTAAGTTCAGCAGCATCGGCCACCTACACTATTGCTTTACAGAACATCTGAACGTAAGTACATGAGGTTCAGTGACTAAAGCACATGTTGCTAACCCTCCCTTTCAACTTCACTTCCCTTCCTGGAACCCGTATCATGGAGGAAGTTGTCCTCTGACTTCCCCACACATGCCATAGCACCCAACTGCCACACATACATACACATTCATGAACACATACAAAAAATTAAGTAAATTTTTAAAAAAGGGTATTTCTATAAAAATAAAACAATTCAGAAATTGTATTCAAGAAAACTTTAAAATTTTATTACTACCTAAAAGATTACACACATTAACTTATGAGCATCTTAATATAATTACTTCTACTTGGGGGTGAAGAGAAATTTGAGACAAGGCCCAGCTATGTAGACCAGACTAGCCTAGAACTTTTATGAAGCCCACTGAACTCATTATCCTCCTGCCCCATGGTCCCAAGTGCTGGGAATATAATGTTCTGATATAATTATAGTATAACCAATCAACATAATACTAAATTAAAAATATTAAATATAACTATGTCAATAATGTTTACAATTACCTGTGTGAATACTCATATGTTCCTGGAGACTCCGTTTGGTAACAAATGACTTGACACACAGTTCACACTGGAACTGCTTTTGGGACTGATGGAGACTTTGATGTAATTTTAGACCATGCTTATAGATAAAAGTTTTTCCACAGACCTAACACAGAAATATTTGAGACAGCAAAACAAAAAAAGATTTTATTTTTGAAGTGTATAAAAAAATCCCAGTATTAAATAGAAATGTTATAATTAAACTGTGACTTATATTAAAGTTAGCAAAATGACAATGTCAAAGATGAAGCCACAAATACCAAGGATCTTAGCCAGTTGACTCCCTTTCTTATTCAGTACAACTGCCATCTTCCCAAAAGTATACACACAATAGTAGGGAAAAACATTGTGCTATACTTGCCGGCCTAGCAAAATACACCCCTTAAAGAGGCATGAAAGCCCTTCTCATTTCCCAAGACATCACATAAAACAGTTCCTCTTCAACTCTGGATGGAGAATAGGCTATGTTCAATTTCCCCAATCCATCAGGGAAATCTTATTAAAAAACGTAGCAATGTCAATAACTCCGAAAGCTTTCAAGTTCTTAACTGTGTTTATTCCCCATGGTATATACATTTTGAGTAGTGTTACACTGAAGACCAGATGCTAAAACTAACAGTGTTTAAACTTACAAAGAAGCAATTCTTAGAGCTTGACCTCAAAAATAATTGAGATAGTGAAGAAAGAAACAGCGAGTAACAAGAAAAATAAAACAGCCCAGGAGCTGATAAATACTAAATATTGATGAATGGTTCTTATAATGAATTCTATTTTCATGTAGTAAGATGCTTAAACAGACCTGTGGCTAGAGAGATCATAGAGCTGAGAGGAGACCCTTCTACTGCCATATTGTTAAATTAATGTATTTGCTAACTATTCTAAAATAATTATTTTTATTTCTACAATAGATGATCATTACAGAGATCCAAAATAGGTCAAAATGAAGAGAGTAAATGACTGTGAATTTCCCAAGTCCAACTGATATAACTTGGGAAAAAACTCAGAAAGGCGGAGGACTGGATCTGAACATCAAAGGAACATGATGTCTGCTCTAAAATGCTGTCTTGTCCATCTGTCAGGGAAGCTGTGAACTGTCAACAATACAGTTGCATGAACAATATAAGTACCTCCACAATGACATCAACTGACAAGCCAAAAACAGACAGGGGAAATTCCATATGGTCCCACCACTACATGAAGAGCTATGGGGCATCTCAGGAGGCAGAGGCAGGCGGATCTCTGTGAGTTCGAGGCCAGCCTGGTCTATAAGAATAAGTTCCAGGACAGGCTCCAAAGCTACAGAGAAACCCTGTCTCAAAAATAAATAAATAAACATAATAAAAATTTCAGTGTTTAAAAAAAAAAAGAATAGAAAAGCAGGCCCTCCTTGGCTATATAGCCAGCTGAAGGCCGTCCTGGGTTACATAAGACCCTGTTCAAGGGGCTGGAGAGATGGCAGATGGCTCAGTGGTTAAGAGCACTGACTGCTCTTCCAGAGGCCTCAGGTTCAATTCCCAGCACCCACATGGCAGGCAGCTCACAACTATCTGAAGATCCAGTTGCAGGGATCTGACATCTTCACACTAATGCACATAAGAAAAATAAATAAATAAAAAAGAATAAGAAGAGCTATGGGGCTATAGAGGATGGGGTTCAATGGCTGCAAAGAGAAGGAGAATCAGTCTCCTCCAGTTTCCACATGATGTCCAATCCCAAGCGATCCACCCTAGACACATGCATGTATATATGAGCAGACTTAAATGGACCATTCATATGTATGCATATATATGAATGTAACAACAGAGGCACACAAATATGGATGAGGGGTGCACAGAAAGAGTTGGAGACATGAGGGGGGCAGAGTGATACAGACGCAACGCTCATGTATGAAGTTTTAAAAAACTAAAACAAAACTATACTGGTTCCACAACTGTCTGATAATAAAAATAGATTGTCATGTTCATATGTAATGCTATCGGTGTTGCTCAAAACTCTTCCATGTTCCAAACAGCCCAAAGCTGGATAATCACAGTATTCTTTAACCAAGAGTTTTGGCTTTTACTTACCCAAAATCCTCAGCAACAACAAAAAGATAGCTTAGGTAGGACTTTTTCTGAGCAGTATTTGCTTATACCATACATTCTTTTTTACTACAGATAATTTCTACTAAAGGCTAAGGGATGACTGGGGTGATGATTAGGTATTCTCATCCAGTAGGTACTATGGACACCAAAACATTTCAAATAATGACTTCAAGTTAAAGTCTACAAATTAAAGACTACAACAGGTGTTCATATTTAATGTAGACAACGAACCAAAGATAAACTTCCCTAACATTTAACAAGAGTAAAGATGACTTCAGAGAATACATTATCAACCTATGTCATCACTGCAGTTGATTTCCAATCTTCTTTAAATAATGAAATAAATAGGCTCTTACCTGGCATGCATGTGGCTTTACACCTGTGTGCTTTAGCATATGTATTCGAAGAGAGTATAATTTAGGTAATGTCCTTCCACATATAGAACATATAAATTCTCTTTTGGTTCTTCCCTTCTCAGATGATGCTCCTGATGCCTCATTAGATGTGGAATTGGATGAAGATGAAGTAGGTGCATCTTTTCTTGTATGTCGTATAAGGTGTGCTCGCAATGAGGCACTATACTGAAACTGTTTTTTACATAACTAAAAAAGGAAAACAAATGTTCTTCCTATATAAAATGTTAAGTGAAATTTCACATTTCAATTTTCAAATTCTGGTTATAATTATAAATAAACAAATATAGTTTAAAGTTAATATATGTAGTACTGGGAAGATGTCTCATCAGAGGTTTAAGTATTTGCAGCACAGAACCACCTATATACACACAAAAGACAGCCTAGACCATGAGACCCTGTCTTCAAAAAAAAAAAAAATTGAAAAGTACTAGGTACCAGATTATGAAGACAAAAAGGATAAGACTCTGGAGATAACTAAGTATTTTAAGAGGACACAATTAGAATAGGCTTAGAAGCTAGAGAAATGCCTCAGAGGTTAAGAGCACTGGCTGCTCTTCCAAAAGTCCTGAGTTCAATTCCCAGAAACCACATGGTGGCTCACAAGCATCTATAATGAGATCTGGTATCCTCTTCTGGCCTGCAGGTATACATGCGGGCAGAACACTGGATATATAATAAGTAAATAAATCTTAGAGTAGGCTTGAGTTGCATCTTAAAGGAATAGTAGATAAGAGTTTGTTTGTTTGTTTGTTTTGTTTTTGTTTTTCGAGACAGGGTTTCTCTGTGGCTTTGGAGCCTGTCCTAGAACTAGCTCTTGTAGACCAGGCTGGTCTCGAACTCAGAGATCTGCCAGCCTCTGCCTCCCAAGTGCTGGGATTAAAGGCGTGTGCCCCCACTGCCCAGCACGTAGATAGAGTTTGTTATGTTACTTGGGATAGAGGGTTTGTCTGATCTGTTTTAGGGCCTGGGTTTGAATCCTGGTACAACTACCAAGAGACTATATAAGAACACACACAAAAAGTATTTTCTATATATCAATAACAAGAGTTTTAGGTGGAAATGAAATAGGGACTAGGAAAAGTAGAAAAGTATGATAGTCTTCAGATTTTATCTTATAGTGATTGGGGTTCAGGAAAGCTCTTATGTCTCATAAATTGAAAATATATATGATCACCATATTAAAATTTTTATTTAAAAAACCTAGTAGAATGCATATAAAAGTTGATTCTCTCCACCCTACATGTTATTGATTCCCATCATCCCACTTTAATAATATAGCTATGTCACATTAGTTCATATACGACCAGTTTTGTTTGAGACAGGTTTTCCTCTGTAGCCCAGTCTGCCTAGAACTTACCTTGAAGTCTAGGCTGGCCTTAAAATCCTCACTCTCCTGCCTCAGCCTTGGAATGCTGAGATTATAGAGCCACTGTACTTGGTTATTGGTTATGAACACTATCAAACATGAGCTATGTGATATAATTTGATCCTTTCACTTTTTATTTTCTATTTTGCTAATGTCTCTTTATATGTACCAACTGATCACTAAAAGTCTTCCCTGCTCTAGTTTTGAACACTGTTCCTTGTCTTCTAATTTTAATTCTTGTCCTTCTGAATTTCACTCCGCTCATCCATGCCACATACAAACTTCAGAACTTCTTGTTATCCAGTATTCTAGGCAAAAGCTTCTTCTGCAAGTCTTTAAAAAGACAAGGTCTCTCTCTCTCTCTCTCTCTCTCTCTCTCTCTCTCTCTCTCTACTCTTTGTAGCCCTGACTTGTCTCAAATTCACAGAAACCCATCTGCTGCTGTTTCTAAATACTGGGATCTAAGGTGTGTGCCAGCATGCCTTGCTCTAGAGTTCAGCTTTTTAAGATGAAAACAACTGGCTTCTCCCTCCCTTCTTCCTATCCATACTCTAAAACATTACTTAAAAATTTCAAAACAGTCTAATCTCTCCATTTATTCCCACTCCTATTTCTATTCAATTGTACATACCAACTTTTCTGAGGTATTTGTTACTATCTAGGTGTTCTTCCATTTATAGTGGGGTCACATCATAATAAATCCATCATAAAGTTAAGTCTTCAAGTTAGATCATTGTTGGATACCAAATTTTACTTAAAAGCTGCTGTTTTCCTCAATGTGCTTTTGTCCCTTGGTATGCATCTGACACTGTCTTGATTGCTTTTCCCGTTGCTGTGACAAAATACAGGACAAAAATGACTTAAGGGAAAGTGCTGAGCTGCCTTTCTTCAGAGCTCTGCTTCCTGACTGTGTACTTCATGTGACCATACCCTTACTTCAAGCTCCTGCAGCCTTGATCCCCCTACTGGATGGATGCAGCTCTTCAATTGTGAGCCAGAATAAAGCCTTTTCCCTTCGATTCCAGGTGATAAAGAGCATTTTATCACCTGGGTGGTAGTACTGCACTGGGAGACAGAGGCAAGCAGATCTGGTCTACAAAGCAAGTTCCAGGAGGACAGCCAGAACTATTACACAAACAAATGCTATCTCAAATCAATCAATCAATCAAAGTTCTAAGGAACGATGAAAAGATCTGTACATATTTAGCATAAAAATCCTATGTTTTTCTTAATTTTTATATTTATGTTAAGAAGGATTTCTGTCTACATGTATGCATGAACATCACATACATACCTGGTGCCTGCAGAATCAGAAGAGTAAGATCCCCTTACTCTTATGAATGGTTGTGGGTGATGGGAACCAAACCTGAGTCCTCTACCGGAGCAACAAGTGCTCAAGGGCTGAACCATCTCTCTAGCGCTGCAGTAGATATTTTTAACATTGAATCTGAGGGAATAGAATCTATCAATATGGAAGGCTTGATTGTATCTGGTTGTTTAATAAATGCAGTTTCTTTTTTATATAATCACATTTTGTGGACTTCATTCTTTTTTGAGACAGGTTCTCATTTATATAATTAAGGCTTTCCTTGAACTCACAATCATCCTACCTCTGCCTCCCATATTGTACACTATCACTCCTCCTTGCTTGTAACAGGTTTTATTATTTTTTATTATCAAGAACTTGAATTCCTCAACCTTTCTTGAAATCTTTTATCCTAAGATCTGTATATTTCTTTGTATTTCACAGTAAGACATTTAAAAAACTAACTGGGTAGAAAACAAAACAAAAACCAACTAACTGTGTGACAGTATATGCCTAGCATGTGCCTAGTATATGCCTAGCATGTGCCTAGTATATGCCTAGCATGTGCAAGACCCAATAGACACCAATACCAAGACCTCAGCACCAATAGACACCAGAAGGAGAGGAAGAGACACTGACATGGAGGCAGTAGTTTCTGATATCAACCCAAGGCTCTGGCCAAAAATGTCACTAGGTCTTTTGTTACTGACCTGTAGACTTCTCTGTTTGCAGAGAAAACAATTTAAGATTGGTTAACGGTTTGCATCCTAACTTCATGGGACTTGAGTAAGGAAAGAATTTGAAAGGTTTCAGTTTTTGGTTTGGATAGACATCTACCCTCAGTGTACACTGTTCTCTCAAGGACAATTATGATTTCCCCCACCCCTCAAAGAGAAGGGAAAAATCCCTGGCCAAAGAGTGGTAATGTAATTGTTCTTACTCTCAAATATCAATTCTTGGGACTTGTTGTTCTATAATAAAAATGTGATTTAATCTCAACTTTCTCTATTACCAATCTAGTTTAAAATCACTTTATACAATTACTAGTAGAAAGAATTTAGTTGTCTAGGTCTCTTCTTCTGTTACCTTTCCTTTTAATGTCTTTTTTTTTAAGACTGATTAATTTTTATGTGTTTTGTTTTGCCTACGTGTATGTATGTGCATGAAACATGTGCCTATGGATGGTTGTGAGCCAGTATGAGTTGCTGGGAACCACTACTAGGGCCTCTGAAAGAATAACTGATGGAGGAAGGTAATTGGTTAATTATAATAAACCAACTGCTTGGCCTCATAGCTTAAAACATAGATGGGAGGAGTAAACAGAATAGAATTCTGGGCGAAAGAGGAAGCTCTCTGGAGCAGAGACGCCAGGCTCCGCTCTCCCAGGCAGGTCCAACCCAGGATGGACGGAGGCTAGAATCTTCCCGGTAAGCGCACCTTGGGGTGCTTACAAACATCATTAGAAATGGGCTAGTCCAGGTGCAAGAATTAGCCTATAAGGGCTAGAGTTCATGGGTTAAGCAGTCTTTAAATGAATACAGTTTGTGGGTTGTTATTTCGGGCATGAGCTAGCCAGGCGGCTGAGATGCTGGGGACGCAGCCCCGCTGCTCCATATTTCAACAAATAACAAATGTTTTTAACTGTTGAGCCATCTCTCTAGGCCCAAGTTTACTGTTTGTAAAGACAAACTTTCACTGTCCTTTTCCTAAGGAAGCAAAGTTGGAAGAGTATTCAGGTGGGGCATATAAATAACATGAATCAGAATCTTTTAGCAATATAAGAAAGGGTTGGGAGTGTGGTTGTGCATGTACTTGAAAGCCTGAATTAGGAGAATTGCCTGGGCTTCAGTATAAGACTTCATATTTTATTTTTAAAAATGTAGTAGAATAACAGAGCTATCAGTAAGATGAATTCCATTTACAAATGTAGGATCATTTTCAGTTAGCTTTCCAGGTACTTACCGGACATTTGTAATCTCTAGCTCTTTCATGTTTCAATGTATGCATTATAAAGGCATATCGTCTTTGAAAAACCATTCCACATTCCCCACATTTATGAGAAGTTTCTTCAGTGTTCTCCTTAGCATCCCTCTTGGGCTGTTTCATCTTTTTCCCTCTTTGAACTAATTTTTGGGCCACCTAAGCAGACAGAAAACACAATCTAAGAAAATGCACTTATTATCTCCTGTTTTGAGGCATGCTCTTGCTAGTAGCCCAGGCTGGCCTGGTATTATGTAGCCTAGATTGGCCTCAAACTCACAGAAATCCTTTTGCCTCACATGCAACACCATATGCAGCTTCAGTACCATTTTTAAAGTCATGGGTCATGTTATATATTTGTAATACAATACTTCAAGCACACTCCCCTCCCATACCATTTTTATTGTAGGCATTAAGTTAATTACTAGAATTCTCTCAAGCTAGAGTGACACAAAAACCAATCTATTTTGTATCATACCTGTTGAACTGCCGATTTAGAAATGGCTTTCCGCTTCTGTAACTTTTTCTCCATGCCCTTGTGTAACCGGATGTAGCCCCCTTCATTAACAGATCGCTGCCTAAGCCTACTTCTGTAAGTATCATCATCTGGGCCTGAGTCTGTCTTTTCTGTGGTGTCAATTAGCGTTTCCTGATCTTTTAAAGGTTGGTCAGGGCTCTGACTATGATCTGAGAAGTCTTTGGCACTGATGTCCTCAGGCAAGATGTCATTTACTATATCACTGTCCTCTTGAGAAATATTGATTATATTCTCTTTTGAAACTTTAGGATGAACATCAGTAACTGGGCCATCTTCTCTGATGACTGCAGTCTCTGTCTCTGGTTGGTTGGTAGTTGTTGCTAAGCTAGCAGTTTCCATTTCAGTATGGGGATCAGTTATACATTCCATGGGGGACACAGTAGCTTCAGCCTCTGGGGAAACCTGAGGCGCAGGCTGCTGGCCTGGCTCCCCATTCTGTTCTGTTTCTGGTAATTCTCCATTTACCAGTAGTACAATCTCACAATGCCCGAGTTCACTCGACAAAGTTGTGGTTGCTTCATTCCTAATCACAGGTGGTGCTGTAGTTCCGTTGTGCGCTGGTAAGTCCTGAGTAGATGCAACTGTCTGTACTTCACCTTTCTTATACACTGTCAGTTGCTTTTCTTCCATTAGTTTATGTACACTTTCACAAATTTCTAAAACTTCTGACATAAAAAGATGGCGAGCTAAGATAGCTACATCAGCCATGCTACAAAAGTCAAAACTAAGTACAGAGGTATAGGCAAATTCCAGCAAAGGAAGGAAGCTTGCTTTACAAAAACCTGTATGAAACACGAAAAAAGCAAGAAAAAGTCAATCACCACAAAACGACTTTCTAAGAATAGCACAGATTTGTTACAAAGAAAGAATATAGTGAAAAGCCAACTGTTACCATTATTCTACACTTAGTTACCACTGGATTTTCTCTCATTTCTGGTTGCTGTTAAACAACCCTGACTAACTCACATCCATGAGCTGAGTCTCTACACCACTGTAAAGTAGAAAATAACAGATTTACTACCTCAAGAGCGGTTATAAGGCAGCCATTTTCAAACTGTACTCCTTAAAACCCTGGGGGTTCCTCACTTTCCTTCAAGAAACAGTTGCTGGAGAATAGAGGGTAAAAAAGGGGAGGGGATAGGAAAATGAATAGACAGGGACCAACCAACCTGTCCCGTTACCTCTCTTCACATGTTAAAGATAGTTATATTTTCTAATCATAGTTGAACATATAAAATTTAACTGTACAAAGTATTCTACATGCGCACATTAAAAACAAAGATTTGGAGCCAGTGAGATGACTCACTGGTAAAGGCTCCTGCTAACTTGAGGTCATTCCCTAGAACCTACTCAGTGAAGGATAACCAATTTCCACAAGTTGTCTTCAGACTTTGACAACTGGCATAAAAGTGCCCCCACACCTACACCCATACTAAGTAAATGTATTTTAAAAACAACCACCTAATTTTGAGCCCAGGGATGTAGATGTAGCTCAGTTGCTAGTAGAATTCTTGATTAGCAGGAAGAAGTGGGTTTGACCTTCTTAACATGTAAAACCAGGTATGGTGTATCCCTATCCCTGTAATTCTAGCATTCAAAAATTGGAGCAAAGAAGATCAAAGTTCAAAGTCATAGCTTGGGCTACATAAGGTTTAAGGCCATTCTGGGATACATAAAACCTTATCTTCAATTTAAAGCAAGGGTTACTAAATATTTTCTGCAATTTATCAAGTAATAAATACTGCAGGTCATAAGGTATCTGTCATAACCACTCTGCTTTGACATTATAGCTGAAAAGAAGATTCAATGGGTAGAGATGCCCAACTTTCATTACAAAAATAGAAAGAAAAATAGATACTGGGCTACAGTTTGCTTATCGTAGATTCCAAGAATAAAATAATTATATCATAATCATTAGTTAATACTATGAAGTATTGGATTGTTATTTTTGTAACAGGGTAAGTTCAATTTGCTTTTCAGTGCTTTACTCTCAGTGGTAATCTTTAATTCATATATATATGAATATATAATATATATAGCTAAAATGTAAGAAAAAACCACTATACAGTGATGACTGTAATACTATTTTCACAAACAGATGGTGATGAAGTTGTATAAGAGTACAAGTAAGGGCTAGAGAGATGGCTCAGTGGTTAAGAGCATTGCCTGTTCTTCCAAAGGTCCTGAGTTCAATTCCAGACTTTTTCTTACCATTTGTAAGCTGTCTCTTCACTGTTTTTTTCCCTTTGCTTTTCAATTTCAAGAAATTTCATTCATCAATTCTTTCAAAAAGTCCTTGCCTATGTCTGTATCTTGGAAGTATTTCCCCAGTAGTTCAAGTTTCAAGTCTTACATTAAGATCTTTGACCCACTTTTTAATTATTTTGGTAAAAGAAATGTATTTAGTGTCATTCTCCTTGAATAAATCCAGTTTGCTCAACACTATGTTAAAGTAGCGTTTTTTACCCAATGTCTATTTGTCAAAGTAAAGTCCTAACTATATGGGTTCATTGCTAGGCCCCTTTACTGTATTCCATTGTCCCAAAAGTCGTTTTATGCCAGAACCATGTTTTCTTGTCACTTTGGCTCTGTACTATAACCTAGTATGGGATTTCCAGCTGAGATCCGAAGATATATTTGTCTACACCTGGTCCCTTAATGTATTCAATTTACAATAATACTGTTAGAGGATCTTTCTTTCTTTCTTTCCTTCCTTCCTTCCTTCCTTCCTTCCTTCCTTCCTTTCTTTCTTTCTTTTTTTAATTTTTGAGACAGGGTTTCTCCATAGCTTTTGGTTCCTGTCCTAGAACTAGCTCTTGTAGACCAGGCTGGCCTCGAACTCACAGAGATCCGCCTGCCTCTGCCTCCTGAGTGCTGGGATTAAAGGCGTGGGCCTTGTTTTGTTTTGTTTTGAAGGCAGGGTCTTACTATGTAGCTCTGGCTGTCCTGAAACTACGTAGACCAAGCTGACATTAAACCCATGGAGATCTGCCTGCCTCTGCCCCCCAAGTGCTAGGATTAAAAGCACGTGTCCTGGGTCTGAACTTTTTTTATCTGGAAGATACATGTTTCCCTTCGAGAATATGCTTGTTAATAAATAGCAAGGGTATTACAAAAATCTTACCAGAAAGATCCACGACCGCCTCATGACTAGAAACAGCTCCCTTCTCAATAAAAAGATCTCGAAAATATTCACTATTTGCTGACAGAACAGACTTATGAGCTTTGTACTCTTCACCTTCAATTAACAATGTAACATCACAGAATTGGTTGGAAAGCCTCTGTTCATTCAGCTGTTTCAAAACTGCCTGGCAATGTTTTGGAGAAGAACGTTTTACCACTCCTTTGGTGTCAACCTGTCAAAACATGTTTGAGGTCAAGAAATGTATTTTATTTAAAACAAAACAAAAAAAAAAGGAAAAAGAAAAAAAAAGAGAAATGTATTATATATACCCTTAACAAAAATCCATTATTTTTTAACAGGCAAACAATTTGTTATCTATAATCTTAAGTAAATTACATTACTATTTTCTGTGTTCTAAAAGACTGGATCTCTCTATGTAGTTTTTGGCTAACTTAGAACTCACTAAGTAGACCAGTTTTGCCTAGAACTCAGAGCTCCTCCTGCTTCTGCCTTCCAAGTGCTGGATTAAAGGTGTGCACCACCATACTCAGCCATGCTGTTTTACTTGATCCTAGCAAAAAACTATCCTACTTTTTGATGCCTCTTCTTTTTGGGCAAAAAGGTTATGATGTATGTATGACACTAATTTAGTAGTCTAAAACAAAACATATGAACAAATCAGCAAACACAACCAAAAGCCTAGCCACGAATTAAAGTATGGTGGCACACACCTTTAATTCTGGGATTCAGAAGCAGGAGGATTTCTGTTTAGTTCTTGATCATCCTGTTTTGCACAGAAAGTTTGAGGACTGCCAAAGATACAATAAAGAGACCCTGTCTCAAAAAGTACAACAAAAACCTAGCAAGGAAAACAGAGATGTAACTCAGATGATAGAGTGTTCCCTAACATGTATGAAGGCCTAGGTTTGATCCCAGCACCTCATAAACCACCATCTGTGGAACAGGACTGTAATACCTAAAGGCAGACAGGATTCACAACTTCAAGGTCATCCTCACCTATGTAACTATTTCAAGGCCAGCCTTGACTACAATGAAACCCTGTCTCAGAAACATCCAACAAGCAGAAGTCCCCGTTAATTTGCTATGCAACCCACAGCCTAATTCAGAAAAATATTCCATAAACTTGTGCCAGTGCATCATTACAAAAGAGGGGAGGAGTTAAAATCAGGATACTAATTAAGAACAAATAGGATACTATATTAATGGTGAAGAATTATGTTCAATGAAGATTAACAACTAGTATACACTTAGCTCATACAACATAGTAAGCAATCAACATATCTTAAATATGCTTTACTTTGGAGCAGTGGTTATCAATCTGTGAGTCTCAACCCCCTTGGGGGTCAAAAACCCTTTGAGAGTGGTCACATATCAGATATCCCGCAGATCCGATATTTACATTACCATTTATAACAGTAGCAAAATTACAGTTATGAAGTAGCAACAAACGATTGTTTGTTTATTGTTTTTAATTGTTGGGAGTCGCCACAATATGAGGAAGCATATTAAAGGGTTGCAGCATTAGAAGGTTGAGAACTGCTACTTTAGACAAATACAACCCCTTCAGTTTCAGCACTCAGAGCCTAACAATGTTACTGACTTGGCAAAACGAACAACCACAAAAAACCTTTAAGACTGAAAGTTGGACAGAAAGCACACTTACAAATACAAGTTCATGTTTAGATACTGGTTTCTTTTTTGAAGACTTGGAGGCTGTGGTTGGAGGTGAAGTGAAGTTGCTCAGGTCATCTTCTGATTCATTACTTTCTTCTCCAGATTCAAGGTCCAACCCCAATTCTTCCAACATTTCTGAAGCATCTGATATTGGACGGGAGCGATCAAGCTTCTCCTGACATTTGCTACACTGTTTTATGTAATCTTTAACTTGTTTTAATATGCCTTCAGTCCAAAAACAAAAAACAAAATTAACATCAAATTTAAGTGTTCCTACTTGACAGTTGAAGCATTTTATTCATACACTAATTTATGTTCAGATGCATATGCAAGCACACTCACACCCATGAAGAATGCAGAGTGAATTCTTCAGAATGTGAGATATATTATCTCAAAAATGTAAGTATATGAATTGTGGTTTGTTTCCCCATTGAGACAGACTTTTTTTTTACTTATTATCAAGTATTCAATTTCACCTAGCACACGACGATTATATATCCCTGCCCATTTCTTTGTGGATTACAAGGCATCCATGCAATCAAATAGTTGTATTTTGTATAATGATGTTTGTGACAGCTATGGACCAAATATATGACAATGATACTATAATATAGCTCATACCATCTAAGTTCATCAAAGTACATTCTATATTCACAAAACCTCAAAATCACCTAATACAGTCCTCCGTACCTACAATATATCCCTGTTGTTAAATACATGAAGCCAATACTCACCTGTCTTGACCTATACAAATAGCTAATATGGCTCAAGCCATAATGAGAAACATTTTTTCCAAATTATTTTAAAAATCCCCAATATACCTCATGCAGAAATAAATATATTGGGCTAGAGAGATAGTTCAGCAGTTAAGTGGACCTGAGTTCAGTTCCCAATGGGTCAGATAGCTTACAACTGCCTGTAACACCAACTCTAGTGGACCCCTCTTCTGGCATCTGTTGGCACTCACACATGGCACACAAGTACGTACATATGTACGTATGTACGTACGTACACACGCATGAACACACACACAAAATCAGGTCTTCTTTTAAAAAAATTTGTTTTTGACTTTAAGCCTCTCAGACACTAGCATACAACTCTGTTGGTCTTTAAGTCTATGCCTTTGCAAATGTTTTTTGAATAGTTATACTAAACCTTAATCATTTGTGTGTATTTGTGTGTGTGTGTGTGTGTGTGTGTGTGTGTATATTAATCTGTCTAGTACTGCTTTATAACAGAGCATCAACGATTAGGTCATTTGTAACGAGAATTTATTTGGTCAGTTCCTGAAGCTGGAAATCCAAGACTAAGGCCCACATATGAAGGCTGGCCTGCTACTTCATAACAGCAGAAGATGTGTGGCAATAAGCAGCTAGAGAGGCTGACTCCTGTGTCATTCCAAATCTACTCTCCACAATGAACCTACTCTTGTTATGATATTGCTTTAACAAGATTGCATAGATGAGGTTGGAGAGATGTCTCAGAGGCTAAGAGCACTGGTTGTTCTTCCAGAGGTTCTGAGTTCAACTGCCAGCGACCACATGGTGGCTCACAATCATCTATAATGAGATCTGGTGCCCTCTTCTAGAACTCAGGTATATATGCTGGCAGCATTATATACATAATAAACAAATAAATCTTTAAAAGAAGCCAATAGTTATGGAATGGTCAGAGATTCATAATTAAGTGTTTTGTGAGAGACACTGGCAAAAGGGAAGGCGAGGCAAGATATAATCAAAATAAAATAAAAATAAAGAAAAATTAATTTAAAGTGGGGTGTGAAGGAATGGCTCAGTAGTTAAGAGCACTTACTCAATAGTTAAGAGTTCTTGTAGAGGACCCACGATTGGTTCCCAGTACCCACATGGGAACTGTAACACGACCATCTGTAACAGGATTCATGCCCTCTTCTGACCTCTGTATCAAATATGCATATACATAACATGCAGACAAAATACTCATACACCTAAATAAATCTTAGGGAAAAAAAAA